TAAATTAATTCACTTAGCTGGATAACTGAAGATCCACTGCAACTCAGAGATAAAAAATTCTGTAAATACAAGAAGATAAATATTACTACCTACCAAAGTCTTAAGATTACTGAATTTAGTCCTATTGATTATATTTCTCCTAAGTTTTATACACAGAGAAATCAGCGAAAAATGTATTTGAAGGATTAAATGCCAAACCATGTTTCAAGCTTACATTTTTATGTCCAATAGTTGACACAACAACAGTTGCTTAGGATAGTTTTGAAAATGGAATTCACATATAGGACACAGAATTATTTCTTTACAGAGCATAATTTCAGAGTTGGAGGATATAAAAAAAGGATAAATCAATCCATAAGTTTGGAAGTATTTCTAAAAAGAAGAGTGGTATGTTAGTTTCTGGCCCCACTACATGATGAACCCTGCTGGTTGTGGAGAAAGGAGAAACTGATCTGAACAAGACTACACTCTACACAGCTGTCCCTGGCATTCTTCCACCTGTTAGAACCCAGGATTAATTTCATGAGTTGAATCAAAGCATGAAACTGTATTATATAATTTTTAGAAAACAACTGCTGATTGCTGATAGTTGATGGGGGAAGAAAAATTAAGAGCTGTAATTTTCCTACCAGCCATTATTCATGTTAACAAGGACTGGAAACATTATGAATGAATAAAACTCTTACATCAGACCAGAAAAAATAACAGCTGAATCCCCTAAAGGATTATATATTCTATTATCAGACATCTGAAGAAAATAATTCCATATAAGTGGCTGCATTAATCAGCATCATAATATAAGTAGAAAGAATCTTGCCCATTTCTCTAAAACAGCAACTAGAAATATTTACTTTTTGAAAATAGAATAACCATTTGTTAACACATATATATTATATATGTGTGTTTATATATAAAATAATGAGAATATTTTTATGTTTCCATGCTTTGCAGGAGTTTACAATCTTAACTGAAATGATAGCTGCATATGAAACTAATTATACTAAAGCATATTTAAAATAATCTTTTTAAAGATTTAATAATATTAGTATAAAAGTCAAGGTCATGGACTTTTTGTTGTTGCACAGAACAAAAGGAAATATGTCAGAGGAAGAAAAAGGAATATAAATCAATTGTCTCAGATTTTTAAGTCATAGAATTTGTCTTAATTCCAGAAGCCTTTAGGGAAAAGGTAGTTACTTTTTATTTTGAAATAATTTCAAACTTACAGAAAAGTTATAATACTGAACTCCCATATCCCCTTTATTCAGATTCATCAGTTTTTGACATTTGCCTTCATTCTTTCTATACATACAACTTATTTTCCTGAGCCATCTTAGAATAGATTAAATACAAAATAGATCCTTTTCCTCTTCCTTATCTTCCTCCTCCTTCTCCCCTTTCACCTCTCCTCCAACTTTTTTTTTTTTTATTGTACTGGAAATAGATCCCAGGAGCACTCTACCACTGAGCTATGTCCCCAGCCCCTCCCCCTTTATTAATTTTTATTTTGAGATGGGGTCTTGCTAAGTTGCTGAGGCCAGCCTCAAACTTGAGATCCTTCTGCCTCAGTCTCCTGAATCACTGTGATTGCCTGGGGATTGCATACTTTATTCTTTAAAAATAGTAGTATGTATATTCTAAAAACAAAGGTGTTCATTCTGGAATCACAATATAGTTATCAAATTCAGGAAATATGACCTTGATACTCTAATCTAGCATCTGTATTTAAATTTTGTTAATTGTCCCTGAAAAGATGAAGTTTTTGTTGTTATTTGTTTGGTGCTGGGGATTGAACCCAGGGCCACACCCACACGCTCTACCACTGAGCTACATTCCCAGCTCTAAAAAGATGAGTTTTAAGAAGAGTCATGTAACAATTTTTGTAATTTAAACATTAAAACTTGTGGGAAGTAAGCCATAGAAGACCTTAGAAGTTTGGTAATGATTGGAAAAGTATTTACAGGAAAGCATGAATGCGCAGGCTCAGATTACAGTACAGATGGGACTTACCTGCCTTCATATGAGAGTTTTGTTCTGAAGAGCCCATTTGGTGAAGTAGTTCCTAGGAGGCTGTGTATTCTGGATGCAAGGACGGTGCAGTTTGTTGAGCTTCCATGTAAAAAGTACACTGACTTGTCATTACTAGGTCTTCACGATACTGAAACGATATCTCCTTTGGAACTTCTGTTTGTGTTCAGGCTTCCGGCCAGCTAGGCCAAGGTAGGGAGGGCAGCTTGGGGAAGCAGATCCTGCCATATATCCCCCCAACAACGTGGTCCCTGACGCTTTAGCAGCCAGACGTCTGAAATGTCGGTTCTTGGAGACTTTGCAGGACCCGCGACCCTTCCTCGTCTACCTAAGGCACCATCGCAGGTGGGATTGGCGCGGGCGCCAGACTCCGGACGTCATTTCCGGTTTGGTCTGTTGGGAGTTGGTGACCGCGGCCGAGGCCAAGTCCAGCCTGCCAAGGTTGTGTCAGCCCAGTACTGGACGCCTCTGGAAGCCATGGCTTCCCCGCTGAAGCTAGAGCAAGACGTGCAGGGGAAAGTAGATTCGTTCCGTGCCCGTATCGCACAGGAGGCCGAGGATCTGGTGTCCACCTTCTTCCCCCAGAAGTTGTCAGAGCTGGATAGCCGGGTCCAGGAGCTCCGGCTGCAAGACCTGTCCAGAATCCGTTCGGTGCCAGCCCCGGAGCCGCCTGCCACCCCAGATACCGCGGGGGATGGTCCCAACCGGGATCCTCTGCCTCTGCAGACCCAGTCTTCAGTCAAGGTGCCTGGTGGCGAGGGACGTCTTCTGAGGAGCAACCAGCATCTGGTGGAGCTGATTGAACGGGTAAAACCTGAGATTGAGCTGCTGAGAGAGAAATGCAACACTGTGCGGATGTGGGTGCAGCTGCTCATCCCGAAGGTGGAAGACGGCAATAACTTTGGAGTGTCTATCCAGGAAGACACCGTGGACCAGCTATGGACTGTGGAGAGCACAGCAGCCTCCTACCTACGCCGCTTCTCCACCTACTATAACACCCGGGCCAAACTCGTGTCCAAGATAGTGAAGTACCCCCAAGTGGAAGATTACCGCCGCACCGTAGCAGAGGTGGACGAAAACGAGTACTTGAGTGTACGCCAGATCCTGCTGCACGTGCGGAACCAGTATGCCACCTTGCATGATGTGATCCTCAAAAATATTGAGAAAATCAAGACCCCTAGGAGCACCAACACCGACAACCTGTACTGAAGACCTTTCTCCACCCCACTTTACTTCAGGAATTGGCCGAGCTGTTAAGGCAGCTAGAAGGCTGGTTATTAACGACTCTACAGATGATCGAAATGACTGGAAACCTGTTACCATTTAGTTAGAATTTCATACAGCTATCCTCACACTGAATCCTCTTTTGGTATTATTTTTTATTTTCCTTTTGGGGTAGTATGGGGACAAACCATCTGGTAGAATGTGGTAAGGTTGTCCAAGGAGAAAGGACTGCCATTTTAAAAGCAGCTTTGTGGATGATTGTTGGCCAAGGTTTATTTATTATGGCATTGATGACATTGAATGGCTTCAGGGGTTCCTTATAAAGTTAAAAGGAGAGTTAAATGAAACTTTTCCTGAGCTTCTACTAAATGTTACTTTTTCAAAACTCCTTAACACCATAAAATTTTTTTTCCAAGAAGGGAGTTTAAAAAGAGATATGTTTAGGTCATTGTATGCCTCCAATTTAGCAGATTGAAATAAAACATGATTATATCATTTTATGATGGTCTATTGTACTTATCTGAACTTTAATTTTCAGAAGTATGGGGTTCCCCTCCTCCTCAGTTGTACTCACACCCTTGATATTTTTCCATACTGATACATAAGAATAGATTTTAATTCTCCTAAAGAAATGAACTTCCACCTTAGAATGAAGAGAAATCTGTGAACAAGGCTTTCTTACATAACCTTCTTCTGCATATACATTTATCTCAGAAGTGCATGGTAAACCCTTCAAGTCTTAAATCACATTTACTTTTTAAAGCCCTGGTTAGAATTTCCCTCTCACATCGTATTGGTCATTCTTTCAATATAAATGTGACTGGTTCTTCTTCCATCTGCTTGCTTTGCTGTCTTGTTGAGGGGAAACCTGTTTATAGTTCTCAACAGTCACCTGTACTACTGGTATTTTTAAAGTTAAGCATTTACAGATTTTATTTACAGGTAAGGTAAAGTACTGTTCTGTGAGCCATGTTATGCACCGTGGAGAATTTTGGAGCTTATGATGTGATATGATGAATTAGTCCTTTTTTCAAAAAGGTTTTGTTCAGAGTTTCATCTTTTTTGATGATAAAAGTATTTTAGTCACTTGAAATATATTTACTCAAAAACACCATTGTCTCAGTGTAATTTGAGGACATTGACCACTCAACACTACCCATGAAAATTATATAGCACAAGTTTGATAAAAGGGTGAGTATGAGTTAATTTTTGATGTCTTTTAGTTTATAGGGATGAGATTATTTCTATGCATAATTGACAGCTTCATCTCTTTTTCACATTTAACTAACTAGACTGTGCTCTGAATTCTCATGATATTTTTAAGACTATATATATAGAAGGTATATCCTTAATCTTTTAATATATTTTGTAATAATATTTGCAAGCAACAATTTACTTCTCACATGAACTTTTTGTAGGAAAATTATGGAGAGTAAACTTATTTTTTTGTAAGAAATGAGAATATATTTTC